CAGCCGATGTAATTTGTGCATATTGCATATAAACTAAATCATTTGAATCATACTGTACCACATTTACGTTTAGTCGAGCGTTTAGTGCAGTGCCATTATGAATACTATTGCCTTTTTGAAGTTCTGCCCATCCATTATTCTTTGAAAAAACATGATTGCACTTTTCTAAAATCAATTTTGCTACTTCACCATTACCTTCCTCTAACTTTTGTTATTTTTCTAACACAATACCTATACTTTTACCGGTCAACTACAGTATTAGAACGTGCAATAAAAATACGCAGGTATAATTCAGATAATTTTCCCTTTCCTTGAGTCGTAAATACAACTATAGATAATTGTAGATAAAACCATTTCGGCACAATAACCATAGTTATTTTATCAGTCATACATTAATTACTATTTTTATTATTTCTGATTATAGGTAATAATAAAGTCCAAGTTGAAGTATAATATACATAGAAATAAGTTAAATTTTCAAGTAAAAAGAACCAAATAGGGGAAAAAGCAATAAAAAGCAGGTTTTGAGGAAAACATAAAAAAAAGCAAAACAAGGTTTACTTCATTAAAATCGGAACGATTCAAAACGTATTTATGTATAAGAATTATCCGAGGAATTATCTTTCTATGGCACTCCCCTCAAAAGAAGCATTTGCTACAAAAACCGAGCAATACTAATGAGTATACTCAACTTTGGTGTTATTATAATAAATAATTATTAGCGTTCATAATAAAATTAACAATATACAATATGCTCAACATACAGTACATGTGCGTTGGATAAATTTAGATATAATGAACTTATTACGACCAACATACAATTCCCATCTTACATTATTACTTCACAATTTCTGACTTCATTTATCCCAGTTGTCCCTACCAACATCGATTATTTATTTTGTATATTATTATAAGTCCATAGTTAAATACCATACCTTTGTCTAGAACTCAAAAATTGATTTGAATTCAACTGCAGTAAGTAAGAAAATAGGTCTCGTATTCTAAAAACTTATTTTAATTTAATCTGACTAATAATTTAATAATTTCTTAACATCAGCATTATGTTGTTTTTTACCCTGTCTAAACTCCTAAAAGGCACCTAAATTTAGTATTAAGTTTTAACACAATGATGGTAATTAAAATTAATGACAATTTTTAAAATATATTTAAAGTTGTTAGGCACGTCAGTAAAAGAAATGGATACCATTCAGGCTCCATCTTGTGAATATAATTTAAAGCAAATTCTGAATTCAAATGAATGTGAACCAACAAGTTTTAGAAATGACTCTCATTCTGTAAGAATACTGGAAAATTTACAATCTCTACGCAAGTATGTTTACAGTGATTTTACCTTCATTCAGATTTCAAAATAAATATCACTTACATTTTTTTTTTTAGAAATGAATTTTTATGCGATGTTAAATTTGAAGCAGATGATGGTAAAATTGTAATTGGACATAAAAATGTACTAATAGCAGCTAGTCCATATTTCCGTGCAATGTTTAGTAATTTTGACGAAAGCAATAAAGATCTTATCAATATAAGAGAATTAGATTCCACAATTTTACAGCTTTTAGTAGATTATATTTATACTGGAGAAATTATGGTCACAAAAGAAAATGTACAGGTACCTATAATTAAAGATTTAATTTTATATAGACTTCAAACAACATAATATCATTCTATGTGAATTTTTTTTTTATTTCTAAGGTGTTATTACCAGCTGCAGATGTATTGCAGTTAGATTATGTAAATGGTGTATGTGCTGAGTTCTTACAAAAACAACTGAATCCATCAAATTGTCAAATAATCAGAGCGTTTGCTGACTTACATAACTGTACTGATTTATCGTCAATTTCCGAAGCATATATAAAACAACATTTTTTGTATGATTAACATTTTTTAATTCTCTATATCAAGAGTAAGTAGGTAATTTATTATAAAAATAATGATTATTATTTCCAGAGAAGTAGCTAAAGGCAAAAATTTTCTATCCTTATCTTCTGAAGATTTGGTTAAGCTTATTTCCTCTAATGACCTTGCTGTTCCATTTGAAGAAAAAGTAAGCAAACTAAAAATTGTATTTTTAATATTTTGTATGGAAAATCAACTTATGAAGGTTTACAAGTTGTACATTACAGTTGATGTCTAGACTCCACAGGAATCACTGTATCAGATGTGTTATATTTGAATTCAATGATATAAAATCATTGTAAACGAAAAACGATTCTGAGCAAATATGGTTTAATAATATTACTAAAAGTATATTTTATGATATTGTTAATAAACTAATTTATTTTACTATTAGACATTATTAATACTGTATTTCTGGTGCAGTTTTAATTATTTTTCCAAAAAAGTTGCATATAAAAAGATCATTGTGTTCATACAATATAACAATATACTTTAAAATTTTAAGTTCCTACAAATAATATTTTTAAACTAAACAACTAAAATCAATAAAGCTTGATTACCATAGAAAATAATTATATTGACTGTTATTGAAAATAAACAAAAACATGTCTTATTTTAAATGTCTATAAATATTAAATAACTCTAAAATAGTTAAAACGTTTTTTTTTAAAATTAGTTCAAATCAATTGTATCTCCTTGATGATAAAGAAGTTTTGCGGTCGGCTCCGACTGTAATTAATTTTTGTACCACGTACCACATTGATTAGTCAGTAGGCCCAAACAATTTCACAAACGCAGCACATAAACCTTCTACTGCATGTCTATATTGTGTATTTGTGTGTATTCAAACTAACAAATAATATTTATTATTTAATACCATACAAATATAAGAATTATTAATTAATATTCCTTTGCTTAATATAAACAGTAGGAACACATGATCTTAAAGATCTATTATATTTTTGGGATCCTGTGATAATTATACACTATTGAATAGTTGAACAAACTATTATTATATCTTAATCTAGTTTTAAATATTTTTTATTGTAGGTATTTGAATGTGTTCTCAAATGGGTAAAACATGATTCAGATCATCGAATAGATTTTTTGCCAAAACTAATGGAACATGTACGTTTGCCATTAATAAAGCCTGATATATTATTAAATATATGTGAAGAACCTCTTCTAAATAATAGTCATAAAATATGTATGTTATTTTCATAAATATGCCATCATTATGGATTTATACATTTTATGAATTATTATTATAATTTTTTTAGGTAAAGATATAATCGAAGCATTACGTTTTAATCATCAAAAATCAGTTCAGCATATCACCATTCCAAAAACGATTAGGTTTAAACCTAGACAGTTTGATGGTTTTCAAAAAGTATTATTCCAAATTGATTAATTTATCTTCGCAATAATTTTGTCTATTCAATTCTATTAGGTTATTCTAATGTTAAGTAATTCTAATACATCGCCAAAGTGTTATACTGAATGGTATGACCCAGCAACCAAGCTAAGAGAGAAAGCTCCAGGAATAAATGAATCTCGGATGTTTGCTGGTTTTGGTGTAATACGTGATAAATTTGTGTTTGCTGTGGGAGGTGTAAATGGATCGAGTTCTAAATCTGTTAGTATGCTTGACGTATCTTCAAAATCACCATCATGGGTTCCATTGGCCGACATGTTAGTTAGTAGAACGTTTTTGGGAATTGGTGTATTGGATGATTGTATATATGCAGTAAGTTAAATCAATATTTTACTAATTTACTTATTTTATATTAAAAATGTATATTATTTGTAATTCTAGGTTGGCGGATGTGATGACGGCAACTATGCTTTAAAAAGTGTAGAGGTTTTTGATGTCATTACCCAAAAATGGAGAATGGTGTCTAGTATGACAATTGAGAGGTTTCATTTGGGCGTTGGTGTACTCAATAATCGTCTATACGCTGTGAATAAATATATCATATTATTATTTATTTATTTTACATTTTATTTAATTAAATTATGTAGGTTGGTGGTTTTGCAAATGGTGAAATTTTTAAATCTGTGGAATATTATGATCCCACACTTGACATATGGACTCCGGTTGCAGAAATGTCTGAGTGTCGTCAAGGTGTTGGTGTAGGGGTTTTGGATGGTCTTATGTACGCAATTGGTGGCTATAATGGAAGGGTGTATCTTAAAAGTGTTGAGGTTTATAGACCAAGTGATGGAGTTTGGTCTTCTATAGCTGATATGAATTTATGCCAATGTTTACCTGGTAAGTAGTGACTATGACAATTATATTTTTGTAGAATAACCTTTGTAAAAATATATTGAATTTAAATTACATTATCTTATAGGAGTAGCCGTATTAGATGGTTTATTGTATGTTTTTGGCGGAGAAAAAGGATCTATTGTTGATACTTTTGAAATTTACAACCCTAACACCAATACTTGGACCTTGGAAAGATTGTCAAGAAATGAAGTACAAATTTATGGTGGAGTAGTTGTCGATAGACCACATCATTATCATTAATCAGCTTACAGTAGTACTCATTGTTAATAGTAATATGAACAAATTTTTGTGTAAATTATGATGACACGTGTATTGTTTTAAATATTTTTGTTATTTTGAATACCTATATGATAAGAATGTTTTTTTTATAATTTATACTAACTATTTTCAAATAAAAAAAATGAGCTACCTATACTTAAATTATATCTATAATCTACTATTTAAATTATAATTTTTAGTTTCTTTGTGGAACTTTGTAGTGTGTACACATTAAAAATACACCCACGTGTAACACACCTACCGTTCCAAAACCTACAGTACCACCTCCCTCCCAATGGCCTAAGTTGCCGCGGATAATTAATAAAAAAAAAAAAAAAATAGATGATAATATATTGTTATCAATATTCGTCTTATAAAATTATCATATTATATAGTGTTTTTATATTTCTTTATTTTATTCTCTTGGGCCCTATATATGTATACCTACATATTATTATTTATTTTTTTTTTTTACGGTAGTGAATATGCCCAATTATACGTTATTATTTTAGTTCTGTTACCTACATCTTTTATCCTTATACATTTTCATAACTCATACATATTATGTTTTATTGTTTACCAAATTATTCTTTTGGGCACCCTCTTTTTTTGTGTTACCTATAATACCTATGTACCTACAGTATATTTAAAATTTTTGGGGCATTAACTATACACCCATTATTCCTTATAATATTGTCAATTGTCATTAAGTACATCAGATGTACTTAATGACAATTGACAATAGATTCTATTGCTTAATATTTATAAATGTACATTACATTATTTTATATCCTACATATACATTTATTTTTTATAATTATATTTTTTTTTTCGGTACTGTTTAGCTACCCAATACGTTTATTTATGTATCATTGTACTATATTTCACTATATTAATTAATCATATTGTTTTTGGGAGCCCAATATATATATTTATTATATAATATGCATGTATTTGTCGTTTATTATTAGTATACTATTGTTTGGTAGGTACGTATTATATTACGATGCCTACTCAAAGCGTTTCTTTATTTATGTCATTAAATTTTACTTACTTAATAATTGTACACCTTGTTCCTATTCCAATGAAAATCGCAGAAAAAAACTTCTAATAGTCGTAAGTATAGTATAAGAAGGAGAGTTCTGAATACCTAACACGCAAGACTTTTAGTTCCATATAGGAAAGTTGCAATGTCTTTCAACTGGCGGTGGTCGTTTGGGCGAAGGTAATAATTTTTACCGAAAAATTAATAGTCCGTTTGGGCGAGTAAAATTGTTTACCTTCCCGAGGTAAAAACCTAGATACGGATGATATCGTTGCTATTAATC